CCACCTGCTTCTCTGCCTACTTGTGATCTCTGTCTGTCAAATAAATAAATAAAATCTTTACCAAAAAAAAAAAAAAATCAATGTAACAGTCTTCTATGCAGACTGGGTGCCCCTAAGTTCCAGATCCATGAGGTTTCCTTGTTTGCGCAGGGGGCAGATAAGCCCCATCCACTAGAGCTCTCAGGCCCTACCACCCACCCCAGGAGGAAAGCTGTGACCCTTCAGGCAGACAGAAGGGCCTTTTATGAAAAGAAAGGCCCCTCCCCGCAGGCCTGTGGGGACCCTCCCACTCCTGCTTCTCACCTCACAGTAATGGAGGCCACCGCTGGGCCTCAGGGAGGTGAGCATTTCTCTTAAGAGCAGATCTAAGAGATGTCTCTTTGGCACTGGGAGGTTTTCATTTTGTGTTATTCTGGGCGGTGGGATGGGGGTAGGGGGACTCGCCTATTACTTTTTTGTGTGGGGGGTTCAATTTATTCACAAACTCTTTCAAACATACTGAAAATAATAGTGGACACTCCCATACACCCACATGTAGCTGATCAACCGTGATGATTAAAGACATATCATTTGGCCACTTCTAATTCAGAACCTCTCCCTGCTGGTACACTCTCTTTCTGAAAGAAATAAAGTGTTATAAATCCAAATGAGGAGAACCCCCATCTCTTCCTCTGCCTTCGGCCTCAGGAGCAGCCTACACATTTCTGTATTTTTTTTAAACTACATTCGTAGCATCCATGACCCATAGAAATGGCCATTTTGTGTTTTTAAAACATGCACAAACAGTATTGTATACAGACCATTCTGCAAATCGTCTTTCCTGCTCCGCGTTATTTCTTCTGAGATCTATCCATGTTGTTGCCTAGAAATAGTATTCATTATGTTAATGTTGTATTCTCTTGTTTGTAGAAATCCCAGTGTAACCATTCTCCTGCTGAAAAAAACCACTAAGTGAGTGGTTTTCACATTTTCTGCTACTGTAAATAGTGGCTTCCGTAAACATCTTCATACACGTCTCCGTGAGCACATGGTCACGAGTTTCTGGAGGGCGGACAGCTGCCCGTGAATTTGCTGTGTGGGTGCTTGCTTTCTAGGTAATTTTTAGCAGACAACACCCACTCTGCTCCCACTTCCTCAGTAATGGAATAGGAACCCGGTTTAGGACTCTCTAGGTCCTTCATAGAGAAAATGGGAAAACTTAGAATTTTAAAATTATAATTAGAGAGTGCTTCCAAAACCTTAAAATAAAAAAAAAATGTCCTTAATTGTTATAGAACTTAGACCAGTGATATAATAGAAATTATGGAATTGTAGAATGTTCCTCATCCTACAGATGATTGATCTGGCCAGCTCTGGCCAGCTTGGCCTGCTCCGTGTGCCTGTGGACTCCTCACCTTTTAATGGCCATTTCGAGCATGACCCTTTCTCAACTCAGGTCCCAAACCCACAGGGCTTTCCCTACCCCTGCCTCCAAGCTTCCTGGAGCCCAGACTGTGTGTGGATCTAGTCGGCGCCACATCTTGGCCGACCCTAGTGTCTTTCCTCATTGCCTGTGAATGCCTCAGGCTCTTGATCAGATTGGCAAGAAGCTGGGCAGGGAGGACGCTTCTATTTTCTTATACTGAGGCCCATAAATGTTCTTACCTTTTTTTCCCTCCTCCTCCCCATTTTGTTGTTGTCATTGTTGTTTGTTTATTTTGTAGTTGCACTTAATAATGGGAGCTATCAATACATCCCCACATTTTTGAGCATAAATTATAGACCCCATATGAGAAAGTACATAGCCCTTCACCTGATACTTGGGGTAGCTCAATGTGTTTTTTGGTTTTTTGGGTTTTTTTAAGTTCAGTCTGAAAGTCAAGACCTCCAAACCTCATGGAGGCACGTAAGGCAGAAGACAAGTTCTTATTCAGGGCAATTCTCAGTCTTCACAGCCAGCACCATGGAAGGCTGAAGGAGCACGGTTTGCTCTATAAATCAACACCCTGGCAGCTTGGCCTGGCCCGGGGTGCCCCCTGGCCACAGCCTGCCGATCTGCGTCAGTTTCTTCCTAGAAAGTGGGCCTCAAGGGGTAAGTTGGCTCCAGGTCCTTGCATGGGCTCAGCTGCCTCCAAAAAGCTAAGGAATAGGTGAGTGGCTGACTGCCCAGAGGACAGAGCAGGGGATGCTGGGGAGGGGGCCTTTTCTGGATTCGAAGGAGAGCCCAGCCCAGAGGCTCAGAAGCTGAAGAGAACATAGCAAGAAGCCTCATTTTTATGATAAACAGTAATGCAGAAAGCTCCACAAAGAAAGGCAGTCATGAGGAATAAGGACTAGTTTCAGAGTCAGCCACACCTGAGTCTCCTCCCAGATGACCCCTCACTTATTGTCTGGCTTTGAGAGGATGGCCTAACTTCTCTGAGTCTCGACGTGCACAGTGTCTCTGTGTGCACAGTGTCCAGTGCCGAGAAGGCCTTAAATATGCTTTCTCCCCACTTGACACTCTGCTGCGGACTCAAGTGTAGGAACAGGACAAAGAGGCCATGAGCCCTGTACGGGAGGAAACATTTTTCCTCTACCCTTGTAGGGTCTCCAGCCGGGCCTAAGAATTGAACTGACATAAGGCAGAGTAACAGAAGGTGCATGAATTTTACTACAACCTCACCCGTACATGGGAGCCTTTGCAAGAAAATAAGGACCCACGAAAGTGACCAGGGCGGAAAGCTTACAGACTTTATAGACAAAGGGACAATACATTTGTGACGAAATGACAGGCAAAGGGCTCTAGGCTCTGGAGGGTAAATTGTGGAGAAGTGACCAGATTTGGGGGCAGGGGGGAACTAGTAAAAGATAGTGTCATTTTAGTGATTTTGCTAGTATTTTGACATCAGTTTGACATTTTGACATCAGTTCCCAGTACTTACTTAATGCTAAAGACATTCTTCTCTTGCTGGTACACGGAAGGCACCTTCCTCACACGGCATCTCATGGCCTGTTTTTAGGTAGAAAGGGGAGGTCTGAGAGCCTTTCCTGCATCTGCTATTTCTCAAGCACCCTCAGCTCAAAATAATCAGTATTTGCAGAGACATGTCCTGAATTCCTTCATCCTCAAACACATGTTTTCCAAGTGTTCACCTGCAGAAATTATTCATTTAATACTCCCAAGTCAGCTCCAAAACCTCCCAGCCAGTTTAGAGCAGAGGAGTTAAGCGGCAAAGGATGAAGACTCTGGAACCAGATTCCTGGGTTTGAATCCCAGTTCAACCATTTAATGGCTACATGGCCTCAGGAAAGTGTCCTTACTTGTAAAATGGGAATAGTTAATGGGAATGAGTTAATACCTTGTCCTGACACATGGCACTAAGTAAGTATTGCTATTTCAAAATAGGAATAGCTATTGTTGGGGATGCCTGGGTGGCTCAATGGGTTAAGCATCTGCTTTCAGCTCAGGTCATGATCCCAGGGTCCTGGGATGGAGCCCCATGCCAGGCTCCCCACTTAGCAGGGAACCTTCTTCTCCTTCTCCCTCTGCCCTTCCACCCTCCCACTCATGCTCACTCTCTCTTGCTTTCTCTCATGCTCTCTGTCACTGTATCTCAAATAAATAAATAAAATCTTTCTTAAAAAATAGCTCTTGTTATGCTGATTAGCCCATGCATTTCTCAGGAGCCAAGTGTGTATTATGGCTCTGGTGGTGGGAACACAAAGGTGAGCAAGTCATTCTCTGTCACTGAGGGGCTCCCCCTGGTCACTCGGGGAAAATGGACCAGGGACTAGTGGACCATGGCAAATCTGGGGCAATAGGTCAGCACACGGGAAGGGAAACAGAGAAGAAATGGGGTGCAGTTGGGAGAGCTCAGGACAGACTCCTAGCTCTTGAAAGATGTGGAAGAGTTAGCTAGACCAACAGGAGGAGGGAGAGCTCGCCAGACAGAAAGAGTTTAGGGAGAAATAGGAGGAGGTTTAAGGAAATATTCATTTAGGAGCACCTGGGTGGTTCAGTCCCTTAACTGTCTGCCTGCAGCTTGGGTAATGATCCCAGAGTCATGGAATCTAGCCCCATGGCAGGCTCCCTGCTCAGCAGGGCATCTGCTTCTCCCTCCCTCTCCCCCTTGCTCCTCTCCTCCTCCTCCTCTCTCTCTCTCTCTCTCTCTGTCACTCTCTCAAATAAATAAATAAAATCTTCAGGGTAGGGGGAAAGAAAACACTCCTTCATTTAAGAAATATGTGAGTGCTTCCTCTTCTGGATACTCACGTATTTAAAAAAGTGTTAGAAAACAGTGAGTGCCCCTCGTTCTAGATGCTGGGGAGACTGCGGTAAGACAAAGTTGCGTTCCCACGAAGATTAGCTCACATCTCCCACTTACCACGTGCCCCACACTCGCCTGCATGCGTTATGCTCGTTAACTACTAGGTACACTCACTACACTAACCTCCATTTTCTGTTCGGGCTAAGTGGAGCGCAGACACATCTGGGGACTTGGCCAGGTTGGTAAAGTCGTAAGAAGCAGAGCTGGGATTCACACCAGGCAGTCTAGCCGCCGCTGCCTGCTCTCAGCCACTGTTATGTCGCCCTGGAGAAGCTCGCTGACATTCTCACGAGCTCCGGGAGCTACAAGTGGGTTATCTTGGCCAGAGTAAGGCGTCAAGCATGGCAGGCGGATGAAGGCCAGCCAGTGACCGGCCTTGGCCGCCAGGCTGATTGGCTGGGGCTTTGCCCTGCATGCGGGCCGGAGGATGGCTTGGGAAGGGCAAGGGGGCCGCGGGAAGCACACCCTCCCCGCGTCCGCCATAAGCTATAGCGGGAATCCGGGCCCTAATGACAATGGACCGGGATGCGGCGGCGGCCGAGGGATGCAGGGAAGGGGCGGCTCTCGGAGGCGGAGGAAGCTGGCCTGTGGCGCGAGGTCGCGGGCGGCGGGCGGCCAATGGCGTGGGTCCGGGCGGCAGCCCCTCCCGCCGGGCGGGGCGCGCTGCGGGCTCGCCGGGTACCAGCGCTGCCGCATCCCCGCGTGCTCCTCGCCCCCGCGCCGCTCCTGTCCCCGTTCCGGTGCCCGCAGCCCGCAGAGTCCCGGCGAGGTCTGGCAGGTCCAGCCCGCGCACAGCTCGGTCCAGTCCGGTGGGTGAGGGACGGTGGCGGGAAATGGGGTGGCGGGGAATGGGGGGGCGGGGCGGGCTCAGTTAGGTCTCGCCTGGGCGGGTGAGGGGTGGACGCTCGACTGGGTTCGGACCCCGCGGGGAGGGTGCCGGCGGGCGCTCGGATCGCCCCGGAGTGGGCTGCACGGGGCTGGGGTGGGAGTGGGGTCGCGACTCCAGAGCTGCGCTCGGACCTGGTCGTGGAGAGGCCGGGCTAGAACCCAGGACTGCGCGGGGGTGAGCGATGGCGCCGCGGGTGTTGGGAACTCGGTTCTGTTGCTGCTCCGGGGAGGAGGCTATCCCTGGGGATGGGGGCACAGCTCAGCCCCAGCCCGAGGAGAGAGTGGGGGTGCGGAGGGGAGGGGGCGCGGGGCTGGAGCAGAGCCGGGGGGCCGCGTCCGGAGGGCCCTCCGGTTTGTCTCCTCCAGAGTGGGTGCGGGGAAGAGGGGCGCCGGGGGCGGGCCGGGGCGCGGGGCGGGGCTGCGGGGCGGGAGAGGGGGTGGTCGGCGCGCCTCTGATCAGGTTCCGGGACGCAGGCAGCGGCGGCGGCGGGAGCAGAGCGGAGATGCAGCGGCTCGTAGGCACCCTGCTGTGCCTGCTGCTGGCGGCGGCGGTCCCCACGGCCCCCGCGCCGGCTCCCACAGCGACCGCGGCGCCCGTTGAGCCCGCCCCGGCTCTCAGCTACCCGCAGGAGGAGGCCACCCTCAACGAGATGTTCCGCGAGGTTGAGGAGCTGATGGAGGACACGCAGCACAAACTGCGCAGCGCGGTGGAGGAGGTGGGTGCGTCTGGCCGGCTGGGGTTCGGGGGAGCGCCTGGTGGGGGCGGCGGGGGGCTGGGGCAAGCCGCGCTTCGAGCGCTCGCCGGGGTACTCCGTTCTGCGAAGGGGCCGGGAAGAGCCGGCTGCAGATTCGGAGTGATCGGCTGGCCGCTCAGGGTGAGCTCAACTCCCACCTCATTCTGACTTCCTGCCGAAAGGTCTGGATCGCAGCCTGTTCACCGAGAGTCTCCGGCTGGGCTCACTCAGGGGCAGCCAGGGTCACCACCTGTTTACGCGCTGCTGGCCGCTACCCCGCAATTGTCTTCTTCAAGTGTGCATTTACCCACCCACCCCCCCGCCCCCTGTGTAAGCGGAAGCTTGCTGGCCCCTGATACTCGGGCTCTGTGGTTTTGCAGAGAGGCCAAGGATCTCAAGTTCTAGCTTGTACGTTGGGCTTTGAGTTTGTGCCATCTTCCCAAGACATAGTTAGGATGCCGTGTGGGGACAAAAAGCCCAGACAGCTTTGCTGCTGGTCTGTCTGGGCTTCCCCCAATGCCATGTGAGGCAGGGAAGGAAAGTCAGAATCCTAAATCCCAGCAGTGTGAATTTTCAGATGTGGGGGGGGCAGTATGAACGGCCACCCAACTCCACCCCAGCAGTGCTTTGGAGTCAGTCCTAGGCTCAGGGTCCTCCTCTGCCACTCACTAGCTGGGCAACATTGGGCAAGTCCCTTAACATCCTCTTCTCAGTTTCTTGTGAGAATTAAATGCCATGGTCTCTGTGGGCACCTGTTGTAGAATAGGTGGCCAATATACAGTAGCTGTTACCTTCAGATACCAGAACCTTAGCAAAGCTTGGCCTGGCTTCTTTCTTCCGTCGCCTCCTAGGACCAGACGCTATGGATAGCATCCTCTAGGCTGATCATCTAGGTGTTGGCAGGGCTGCCCTGGCAGGTGAGGCGGCTGCCTCAGCTCACCCAGCCCAGGTGTCCGGAGCTGTCCCTGGTGCTTGGGGTTGGGGCGCATGGTCACTATTGTGCCTGGCTTTGGCTGCAGCAGCCTGTCTTTGGAGAGAAGCTAGCCATCCCAGTGAAGGAGTCAGCAAGAGACCATATGTCCAGGCTTGTGGCTGAGGTGTCTTCCCACCCCTGCTTCTCCACATTCCACTGGGACAGAGCCTCAAATGCTAGCTCTGATCTGCGGGGAGACGTTGCTTTCTCCCCACAATCCTGCCTCCCAGAGCAGGCAGTCGGATGGAGTATGCGGTGGGGGACACTGGATTGGAGGCAGTTGTGTGGGAAGCTGTCCTGAACATCCACTGGACAGGCCAGATTCCAAACCCCATGGACAGACATTGTTTCCTGTGAAAGCAAAAGAATCATGACATGACATGAAATAATTAAAAGGAGAGGGGAGTCAGATGGGCCCTCATAGCTCTTAACTCTGCCCCTTCCTAGTAACTGGAGCTTGTGATCCTTCTGGTGATCCTTCTGGTGCCAGGGCGGGGCGGGTCATCTGGTTTCCTTATCTGGGTTCCAGGATTTTCTTGCCTGCTCATGGATTACCAGTGAGACTGATGAGGTCAACTCCCAAGTTTCTGTTCTCTGTGATCTTGTTTGTGCCACACAGTCTTCTGATGGTAGCTCTTGCTGAGGGAAAGGAAGGAGCCATGGGGGCCTCTCTGGTCTCTTCATTGATTAGAGCAGTTTGGGATCAGCAGGACATGAGTGGCACATCTCCTCCATGGAAATCCTCCCCATTGGCTCTGCCAAGGCCCAGCTTCCTCCTTCCAGATGCCATTCTGCTTGCATTGTGAAGATGGGCTGGTTGAAGTTTGCCGCCAGGAAGAGTTGCTGGCTGTCACTTCTGTCCCCCTCAGTGGTCCTGCCCCAGAGAGCATCCTCTATGGCCGTGGATATGCGTTGAGAGAGGCTGGACCCCTGCGTGGCAGAACAGGCTGTGGGGATCAACCTTCCTTCAGCGGATCCTAGCTCTGCCATTCCTGGTGGGGTCCAGGAAATGTCTCCCTCCCCCCAGCTCCGTTTAGGATAAGGAGGGATTTAAATGAGGATGCAAGTAAAGCAAGTTACCTGACCATCTAAAATTGGGTTAAGTGAGATTGTGTAATATAAGTCACCCCCAGGGCGCCTGGGTGGCTCAGTGGGTTGAGCCGCTGCCTTCGCTCAGGTCATGATCTCAGGGTCCTGGGATAGAGTCCGGCATCGGGCTCTCTGCTCAGCAGGGAGCCTGCTTCCCTTCCTCTCTCTCTGCCTGCCTCTCTGCCTACTTGTGATCTCTCTCTGTCAAATAAATAAATAAAATCTTTAAAAAAAAATAATAAGTCACCCCCTGGGGCTGTTGTCAGGGTTACGGGAAGTCCTCGCCGTCTGGATAAAGAAAGGCTGCCATTATCACCCTCTAAATAGTACCAGCATGGGGACAACCAAGAAACACCACAGAGTCTCAAGAGATTGTGGCGATTAGTATTAACTTTTTAAAAAGAGGCTTCCAGAAAGCCCCTTCTGTCTCATAAACACAGAACAGTTGCTATTTACTTGTTGTCTGGGGAAAGGACCAGGCCAGATGCATTGGTTGTTTACATGGTTGCGCCATGAATCTGCTTTCAAGTAACTGCCTGACATTTTAAATACTCCAGCTGACTCAAGCTGCTGATTGCTCTTTAGGGAAAGATCCTCTGCTTGTAGGATCATTATTTGGGGAAGCCAGTGTTCAAATGGTTCATTCTGGGCTGTTCCTACTTTCCGGTCTTAATATTCTGTGTTACCGATAAATGTGTTTTGAGGATAAAAGCACTTTCTTCTCCTCCCTTCCCCCTGCTCACGGTGATATCCGTAACTGACATATTCTGGAATATTCTTTTTTTTTTTTTTAAAGATTTTATTTATATATTTGACAGATAGAGATCACAGGTAGGCAGAGAGGCAGGCAGAGAGAGAGAGGAGGAAGCAGGCTCCCCGCTGAGCAAAGAGCCCGATGCAGGGCTCGATCCCAGGACCCCGAGATCATGACCCGAGCTGAAGGCAGAGGCTTTAACCCACTGAGCCACCCAGGCGCCCCTATTCTGGAATATTCTTAATCACCTTACCCAGCCCTAGGAAGAACCCTAATACCAAGCCTCAATTTATCTCTCCAATTTTTCCTATTATACCCCTTTAACAGACTTGTAGAGTGAACCAACCATAAATGCCATATTTTAAAACATGCACATTCCTCCTTTATGAAACAGCTCCTCTTGCTTTGGGCTTAAGTTTCTCTTGCTAGTGGCCGTAATAGTTGTGGTTGAAATTTCCATTGTAAACTGTACTTTGAGTTTGTGGTGCCATTAGAGAACTATTAGCTCATTCTATTGAAATAACCACTGGTTGAGAAGGAGGAGGTTTTATAAGAAGTCTCTGCTCAGCCCAAAGCAGACTCCAGATTTGGTAACTTGTCAGTTATTTGAAAGCCAAACTGGAGGATTCAGATTCCAATGGGAATTTTTAAAAGCATGAAAACATTCCCTTCTGCTTCTGGATATGGCCTCTATAGCATCTTAGTCTCTTACCCTTTTCCAGCTGTATCTTTCTTTTCTATCACAAAATATGCCAATATCTCTTACTTAAAAAAAAAGTTTTTTTAATCCTTTTCATGCTCATTCTGTCTCCTGCCTTAGCTCTGTTCCACTTCTTCTCTATTCTTTTAGTGAATTCTTCAAACACGTGGTATCTACTGTCTGCTTTTTCTCCTTCAACCTGCACATGCCCTAGCAAACTAGCTTCTTCTAAATCTGCTTTCTTCCAGGACAGCGTTAGGAGAGTAGCTACATATTACATCTGTGCTGGGTACCAGGTGCTGAGGCAGGCACTTGGATTTCGTGGTCCTTAATTCTTGCATCCGCTCAGCAGAGTAGGACTTCTCCACTACACAAATGAGAAAGCTGGGGTTGAGAGACGCTTGGTGTCTTGCCCAAGGTCACAGCTGCTGGGACTTGGCCCCACCTTCCCTAACTCCAGAGCCCTGGCACTTGCTTCCGCCGTGCTTCGGGCAACTTTTTGCCTGACCTTGTGGCTAGCTCTCAGGGGCTTGGCCCACCTGGACTTATTTGTAATCTCTGCTACCTAGCAGGTCCTCACTTCCCCCAGGTATGACTTCCTACTCCCACACCTCATTCTGGCCAGTTCCCTCACTCCCCTCTCTATCTTCTCCAGGCTCTTTATTATTTACCAACTAGTCTTTAGAACTTGTTATAACTTTGCTTGGTTTGGAGCAAAGGTTTTCCCTGGGGGCAAGTGCAGGGGAGGGAATACCTCAGAATCATTTGAGAAGCTCTTTAATACCTTGGATTGCACCCGCAGAAGTTCTTTTTTTAAGATTTTTTTTTTTTTTTTTAATTTGACAGAGAGATCACAAGTAGGCAGAGAGGCAGGTGGGGGGCGGGGGGAAGCAGGCTCCCCGCTGAGCAGAAAGCCGGATGTGGGGCTCCATCCCAGGACTCTGAGATATGACCTGAGCTGAAGGCAGAGGCTTTAACCCACTGAGCCACCCACGTGCCCCTGCACCTGCAGAAGTTCTGAATCAGCAGGTCTGGGAAGGGATCTGGTGTGTGGTAAATGTATAGGCATAACTCTCTTGGTTATATATCTATGATAGATACCATTTCATAGTTTCAAGTATGACCCTGATGCACTCTCCTGGTTGAGAACAAGGCCAACACGCTCTGCTTTAGAACTGCCTGTCAGTCTCTCTCTCCTTCATCATCCGCCATTTTATCCCGTGCCCAGCACGGACCCTGTGCCCCAGCCCACAACACACACCGTTCTTGTCCAGGTGGCCACAGCTTTGCCTCCTCTGGGCTCCTCTCTGTTCAAATCATACCTGTCCTTGGAGACCAGCTCAATCATGCCTCCTCCTCCTGGAGGCCTTTCTATTCTATTTTTTGAACCCCTGGCTTGCTTCTAGAAGTCATCATAATCATCCTCAAACAGGTTTAGTAGTGGGGCTCTGCTCTCTCCGCAGTAAATGAATAAGCTGCTCAGGCAGAGCAGAAGCACATACTGGACAAGACCCAAAATCTGGAGTCAGACGAACCTGAGTTCTGTCTGAGCTTTGCCTCCTACTAACAATGTTGTGACCATAGGCAGGTCCCTTCACTTCTCTTCACCTCATTCTCTTCATCTGCAGAGTAAGGGCAACAACACCTTCCTCGTGGGGGTGCTGTGAATATCCAAGGAGCCATGGAAGTTACAGTGCAGTGGCTCAGGCATAGATGATGCCCAAACATGGAGGCTGTCACTGTGGTGATAATGATGATGATGATGGTGAAGCTGATGATGATGGTGATGGTGATGGTGATGATGGTGGTGATGGTAATGATGGTGGTGATGGTGATGGTGGTGATGGTGATGATGCTGATGATGGTGATGATGACTATGGTGATGATGATGATGGTGGTGATGGTGATGATGGGGGTGATGGTGGTGATGGTGATGGTGGTGATGGTGATGATGATGATAGTGATGATGGTGATGGTGGTGATGGTGATGATGATGATAGTGATGATGATGGTGATGATGATGATGGTGGTGATGGTGATGGTGGTGATGGTGATGATGATGATAGTGGTGATGGTGATGATGATGATGGTGATGGTGGTGATGGTGATGATGATGATGGTGATGATGATGGTGATGATGATGGTGGTGATGGTGATGATGGTGGTGGTGATGGTGATGATGATGGTGGTGATGGTGATGATGGTGATGATGGTGGTGATGGTGGTGATGGTGATGATGATGATAGTGATGATGATGGTGATGATGATGATGGTGGTGATGTTGATGATGGTGGTGATGGTGGTGATGATGATGATAGTGATGATGATGATGGTGGTGATGGTGGTGATGACAATGAAGCCAGTGATCGAGTTTCAGACATCTCCCAGTCCTCTCTGGGTCAAACACAGCAGTTACTGACCAAATCCTTGTTTGATCATTTGAGCTTCTGTGTCTTCCAGACTCCCCACTTCTACTCAGTGTTTTTGTGCTGCACAGAGACATGGAAATTCCTTCCCCATAGCCACCCCAGCTCAGTAAATCCAGTTGGGAGAGACAGGAAAAGAGGTGCCTCATTTAGTACATGAGGGAATAGAAGACAGTGATTTAAAAAAAAAAAAATAGAATCTTTTTGAAGATTAGTTTTATGAAGTAAAAATAGCCCAGAGTCAAAGATAGTATTGGAAAACTGCCAGCCATGAACTAGAACTTCTCTTTGTGTCTCTTGTTTTAAATTCCTAGACAGAGTGTCTCACTGGTGCAACTAGTCCGTGATGTGGCCTCTTTCTGAGTCCACCCTGCTGTGAGCTGGTCCCTTTGTCCACTGCCCACTCAGGGTGGGGCGTGGCAGTAAATCCACAAGAGGAAATTGGGTACAGTTTCAGGTTGACAGATATATCTGGTGTAGGTGTCGTGGGGGCTCATGAGCCTGGGGGATCTGGGAACAGCAGCCTCAGAAACCTGACACCAGAGGGGAACACATGTGGAAGAGGCAGGAGGAGGGTGAGCCCTGGGAACTAGTCAGCTGGCCCTCTACCAGGGTCTCTCTTGTACCCAAGCGGTGGGGTGGGAAGGAGACATAGCTGTGGCCCTACCTGTATCAGGGAAGGGGCCATCCTGGGGGCTGTTGGGGTCTGCCCACCACCACCAGGCCCTGCAGCAAAGGCTTAGGAGCAAATAATGTGTTTGGGAAGCGATCCCAGAAACACTAGGAGGAAATGGAAAAGTAAGATGGAAGAGAAGAGAGGGAATAAAGGCTGTGCTACTGAGCAGGTCACTGCTAGGCTGTGCTGGGGGTCCTCAGAGAGAGACTGCCCCTTTGAGTGGGGAGGGAGCTGGGTATTTACCCTCATAGCCTGCCCCTCACTGATTGAGGATGGTTCTTGGGGTGTTAACTCCCTAGCATCTGTGCATAGTGAGCAGCCAGAGAGGGCTCTCAGAGAGAGACCAGACTGGTTCTTGGCATGAAAGGCAGCTGAATGCAGGTGACCTCTGGGTTAGGTTGCTGGGAGAGGGACAGGGCCCCAGCAGCCTTGTCAGGGGCCAAGACTGATCAGCGGAAGCATGCTCAGATCCCAACTCTGCCCTTCCCGGACAATCCTTTTTTTTTTCTTTTTTATGTGTCTCTGGATAGACTACAGTGAATTTTTAAAAATTGTAATTCCAATAAATGGTGTTATATTAGTTTCAGGTGTATGACATAGTGATTCAACAATTCTATGCATTACTCAGTGCCCATCACAATAAGCGTCCTCTTAATCCCCTTCACCTGTTTCACCCCCTCCCCTCTGGTGACCATCCGTTCGTTTTCTACAGTTAAGAGTCTATTTTCTTGTCTTTTTTTCTTTGTTCATCTGTTTTCTTGGATTCTACATATGAGTCATATCCTCCAGTATTTGTCTTTCTCTGACTGACTTATTTCCCTTAGCATTATACCCTCTGGAGCCACACCATAGTTTTGTAAATGGCAAGATTTCATTCCTTTTCTGGCCGAGTAATACTCCATGTTATATATACCTGTATATCTATATACCACTTGCTCTCTATGCATTCATCTACTGACGGACACTTGGGCTGCTTGCTTCCATAGTTTGGCTGTTGTAAATAATGCAGTAAATATAGCAGTGCAGACGTCTTCACGTTAGTGTTCTTGTATTCTTTGGGTAAATACCCAGTAGTGGAATTGCTGGATTATATCGTAATTCTATTTTTAATTTTTTGAGGAACCTCCATTCTGGTTTCCCACAGTGGCTGCAGAAGTTTGCATTCCCACCAGCAGTGCACGGAGGTTCCTTTTTCTCCACATCCTCGCCAAAGCTCGTTATTTCTTGTGTGTTTGATCTTAGTCATTCTGACACCTGAGTGGTGATACCTGATTGTGGTTTTGATGTGCTTTGCCCTGACGATGAGCGATGTCCTTCACGGATAATCTCGGGAAGTTATCCAGTCTTCTTGAGCCTTACTCTCTGCAACTGTAAAATGGGTGTATTCACACCTACCTTCGAGAGAGGCTGTGAGATTTAAGGCTATAATAGTTGTAAAACTTTTAGTGCAGTGTCTTATCCTGGTGGGCAATTAACAGGACCTATTACTACTACCATTATTTATAATTGCAGAAGAGGAAGAGGGTGGTTCTGTTTTTCTAACGGACTGATTTGTATCAAGAGAAAACAATTTGCTCATTAAGTTCATTGATTTAATAGATGGAAGCGGAAGAAGCTGCAGCTAAAACATCTGAAGTGAACGTGGCAAGCTTGCCTTCCAGCTATCACAATGAGACCAACACGGAAACCAAGGTGGGAAATAATACCATCCACGTGCACCGAGAAATTCACAAGGTAAGTATGGCCGTGGCCAGCACCTCCCCTTTTCCTTAGCTTCCTCTCCTATCAGAGAACTAAGGTCTTGTTTACAAATTGGATCCGCAAGCCAAAAATGCAAATGAGGTTGGTAAAACACAGATTAAAAACCAGAGGGAATGAGGGAGCTATTTAAGAGGGAAAGCTGCGTATCAGAAACCTAAATTGCTTTTGCATTTAAGCAATAAATTTAACTCTAGGCTGCCTGCCAATCTGATTGCAAAGGAATGGTCGGGAGTTTTTATCATTTGATAAAAGGGTGCAAACAAATGTCTAGAGAGAGACTTCTCTAGTATTGAATTTGAGGAATTTATCTCATAGGTTTTAATGTGTGTTTTAGCAGGGAGTTGGAATAGAGTCCATGTTTGCTGAATAGATCCTCACTGTTTCCTCAGGAGGAGCTCAAATGGGTTATACTCCATCTTTGGGAGGGAAAGCCTCCTTTGCCATTAAGACTGAACATTTATTTGCTGGCTATCCACTCAAATTTCTATAGCAGAGTTTTTTCTAGCCTGCCCTATGTCTCAGTGTCTCTGTTTGATATCTGACATGAGGAACAAGCAGGTTCATTTCTCCCCCCGACTTGAAGAAGAAAACGTTGCAAATCCAGAAGCACGTAGCCTTAACCCGTCCTGGCATGAGATGTGTCTGGCATGATGTAGGCAGGATGGGGAGGGCAAAGCCCGTGAACCTGGTTTCTCTTGAAGAGTCTGACGTGCTGATATTCAGGGTCACAGCTAGAGGCTATAGAGTTGACGTTCTGCTGTGAGCATCAAGGAGCTTGACCTCAAACCTCATCTCAGCCCATATGTGCAAGGCCTAATGGCTCCAACGAGAGGGTCTCACTTTTGTTCAAGGGCCCAGGTAATGACTTGGTTGAAACAATAGCGTGTCTGTGTCATGGAGCATAAGGGGCTCGATTTTTATGGGCCGTTGCCTTGATTGTAAAGTAGCCTTTGTGTGGCATTTTTCCCGCTGTCCCCAGCTTCAGCTGGGTGTACCCTCCACCTCGCCCCCAGATAAATGAACAAGTCACCTGCTGACCAGTCCTTCAGCATTGCTCATCAGAGGCCTGGAGAATGTTTCCAAAAGTCTTTGTTTTACTTTTGCCAAAACCAATATTAAGTCCTTCTCTTTGACGATAATTAGGTAACAGGTTTGCCTCTGCTTAAAGGTTGCTTCTTGTAGATGTTGGGAAACCCAGGTGTGAGTCCTACTGGTAACTAGTGTGGTTTTGAAAAACCATTTAAATTTTATGTCCCTCACTAACTGCATTTAGGAAATAGGAAGGTCGGTTCGTACGTGACAGTAGCATGGGGGTCAGATGACTTACGGTACCTGAGAGCTCACCGTAAACGACAAGGTGCTTGCAACAGCCGGTTGTTCTATTCCTGTTTCTTCCAGTAAAGTTATGTCATGAGCACCACGTAGCAGCTCTCCAGTGGGTTCCACGGACCGTCTGTTCTGTGCTTCACGAGGGGCTGGGCAGTGGTGAAACATGTTCGGGAAACATCTTAATTATTTCTCCTAGAGATAGGAAAATGCCCATTAGTACAATAAAGGCTCTTAGAAGTCCTGCAACCTGTACCTGCAGTATAGGACCATAGAATTGTTAAAAAATACACCATCAGTTAATTCAGCAAAAATCTGGCAGAGGGGAAAAGGACGCTGCCTCTTTGTTGGGGAGAGGATTTATTTGCCTAAAAGTATTGAAGCATGTTGGTGAAGACATGATCCTTATCTCCCCAGAACTGGAATTTGATCCACTGTGACAAAGTAGGCTGTGTTTCTGCTCTGTTTTGGACAGTTTCCTTGTGATATTAGAGCTGGCAGGAACTTTGTAGATGACCTAGAAATGAGGACATGGTGAATCAGAGAAGTGACTTACTCCTGGTGACACACTAGGTGGTTGGTGGTAGCTGAGCTGAGGCTCAGAGAACCCAGATACCCTACCTGCCGGGTAGACGTCCCTTCTGATCTTCATTGCTGGCACTAGCGTTCCTCAGACAGGACCTCGGATGGGGCAGGAGTGGCGCGGGGTGCGAGCAGGATGCGGGGCTCAGCCCAGAGGCGTCTCCCGCCGGTAAACACCATCAGATGCAGACAGCAGGTGGAGGGGAGGCCTCCCTTTGCACTAAAGCACTTCCTAGATGAACTATGTCACCAGAATCAGGACGGGGGCAGCTCTAGCTAAAACCTTCTTGCTTCTCATGAAAAGATGTTTGATGAGACGCCCAGATGGGTTGTTGTTGAAAAGGATGTTGCCGTTGAGTTCTGAGTGATAAGCCCGAGAACAGTAGAAACAGCTACTGCTGAGTGTTTGCTGCGTGCCTGGCTCTGTGCAAAGCCCCCGCCGTCCCTCCACGGAGCAGCCCCGTGAGGGAGACTCTGCTGTGTTTCTGACGGCTGCACTGAGAAGGGGCCATCCGCCTAGCGGCTGCAGCTAAAATAAAAATAAAAGGGGGAGCAGGCATTCTGTTGACTTGGGCAGATGTTGTGGCTTCAGGAAGTGGGAAAAATGGGCACCTGGGTGGCTCAGCCGTTAAGCAACTGCCTTTCACTCAGGTCATGATCCCGGGGTCCTGGGATTGAGGCCCACATTGGGCTCCCTGCTTAGTGGGAAGCCTGCTTCTCCCTCTCTCACTCCCCCTGCTGTGTTCCCTCTCTGTTGTGTCTCTCTCTGTCAAATAAATAAAATCTGAAATAAATAAATAAATAAATAAATAAATAAATAAATAAATTGGGAAAAAAGAAACCAGCTTGTGGGATTTGCCCAGAATTCCTTCTGTTTCACATTCACGGTACTTGCTCTGCCGTAGGTAACCAACAACCAGACTGGACAAACGGTCTTCTCGGAGACAGTCATCACGTCTATGGGAGATGAAGAAAGCAAAAGGAGCCACGTGAGTTGTCATGTCTCCTGGGCTCAGCCCCTTCACTTGCGAAGGGTGACCCAAACTTCAGGCCATGGGCAGAAGGGAGCGGACACTCATTCACCTCTCCTGTCTCCTTTCTACCAAGATTCCCCGATTCCTGCATTTCTGACCAGAGCGATGTGTTCGGGCAACAGGCTCTAACACTTTGCATCAGAAACAACAGAGAAATGAAATTCAGTTGGCATTTGCCTGACTCCCTCTCAGCCCTGAAAGGGAACAAGGAAGTACCAGGTACCCTAACTGGGGACCTTGGCACTAAGACCTGGACTGTCCAGCCTGGAGTCCCCAAAGCCCCTGGTGTGGCCAGGCCCTTTTGTAATCCCAGCCCTGGTCAGGCAGGTTGAGAGGGACATCACCTTAATTAGTGGAACCCCGTGGCCTAAGGGAAATGGAGTGTTGTCCCATTCCAGGCTTCATGCTCTAACCCCTTTGTGATGGGTCCACCTACACAGTGGCCTGTTGCTTTGTCCAGTGGCGGGATGGTTCTTATAAAATGACAGAGTCCTACTGGTAGAAGGGGCAGAATTTCACAGAAGGAAAGCCTGGACACCGGTCGGGAGGTGACCCCATGGGAGTCACCGGTTTCCAGACTCCCAGGCCTCAGGGGACTCGACTGCTCTTCACCTTCTCATAGAGGTGGCTGGCTTCAGAAGCAGGTAGCTGGTGAGGAGTGGACAGGGTGACCGCCATGTGATGTGGCCAGCTGTAAAAATGTGCATTCTCTATGGGGACCTCAAGAACTAGTCTTTCTGTGCCTAGGTGCCCGAGACAAACTTCAGCTACAAGTTCTTACCCTCCAAGGTGTAGAGCACTTCCTTGACCTTCAGAAGGGGTCAAGGATTTTTCCTCGCCTCTTTTGGCATCCTCATAGGAAGAGAAACAGTGTACCCATCGAGCTAGGGAGGTGGTGTTGGTGTGGTTGGTAGTTGGTGGGTTCTTTTTGCTTGTTTCTGACACAGAGCTCAGACGTTGACTTAAGGCTGGGAGGTCCGGAGGGTTGTGTGTGGTGATGGTGACCCCTCATTCCAGGGACCTGGGGGTAAGATCTGTGCTGAAATGGAAAGAGCTCTAGCAGCTGAGGCTAGAAGCATGAGTTTGCCACGTACGGGCTGGGTCACCCCAGTCACAAAAACCTTTGAAGTGGGGACAGGATTGATTAAGGTCAGGAGGAAAGAGAAGCTGGCTTTCGAAGGTGGGAAGAGAGAGAGGGGAGGGAAAACAAAGCGGACGAACAGTCATAGTATATGGTCATGGTACCAACAGGGAAAAGCTTCAGAGAATTTCTGGTTGGGGCCCTATGATAAAAGGAAAGCCTCAGCCTCAGCCACGAATAGAAGGGGCAGGGAAACAGAACTTTTCAGGGCTGTGAATTAGAAAAAAAAAAAAAAGTCTTTGTTGTCAACTGAAAAAAAAAAAAACCAACCTCTTACTCCACAGTGGTCCATGTTTACTCTGGGGAGCTTCTCGGAGCCCAGAGGGCAGCAGGCCTGACTTGCCCGAGGCCCAGGGGCACAGGTGGCCAGCCACACCCCCACCCCAGGCCTCCTCTGTTGGCCCCCAAGGGAGGGTATCTAGTCAGGTTTTGAAGCCTGCAGTAAGGGGACTGAGGCTCCAAGAGTGGTGGGCGGGGGAGAGGCAAGATCTTGAAGATGCCAAGGACGTGCTCGAGTCAGGGAGCAGCTGCCTCGTGTACACGCGGCTTCCAGCAGGTCTGCTTCCAGCTTTCCCAGGTGTGCATGGTCTTGTGTGCCCACAGGCGTCTGTGCTTCAGGCCCAGCTGGGTGGCCCAGAATCTCCACACCTGCACCTGCAGTCTCTTGTGTCCACCCTGCAATGGAGGACATGCTGTGCCTTTGTGCAGTGTGCAGTCAGAACTCCCATACATGACTGCCTTGAGAATGCAGGAGGCTGACGGGAAGAGATAGATCCCAGAAACCCAGCTTTTCTTGATTTCTGCTGAGCCCCTTGGGATAGGAACTCATTGAGTTTCTCTGTGGGAATAAATTCCAATTTGCTTAGCTAGAAGGGAGATGGGGGGCATCTGATGCTTGATTGGCCAATGTCTGGCAAATCCCATGGGTCTTTGGAGACCAGGTTGGAGACTTTTCAAGCCACCTCTGGAGCGGATATCGTGTGGCAGAAATGGTGGCATGGGTCCCCTCCAGCAGAGCCTCTCTCATTGTCAGTGTGGCTTGCCAAGAGTTGGAGTAGAGAGATCTAGTTTCACGTGCCCACAGAAGTCTCCCATTCAACTCCTCTCCACTTCCTGGGTCGCCATTGTCCCAACACAATGGGGCTGGGACGTGAGTGTCATCTTTACAGAGATTTAGGAAGCCGTGAAGCCTAGATTGCTTTCAAAGGGATGGCCTTTGTTACCACTCCCTAGTTTTTGTCCCATTTGTCCCATTCCCTAGTTTCTGAAGGTAATGATTTTTGCAATTGGCTTGGAAATGCCTGCCACACTGAAGAAACTTTCTCTGAAATGGAAAAGAGATTTGCCGTTCAAAAGGACAAAATCCTGTGCTGTTCAAACCTTAAAATACCATAAACCTGGGCTGAATTTTCAAGATTTAAAATTCCCAGGTGAATTCAATTACAAATCACGGCTAAGCACCCCCTGTTTTCCTTTCTTCAAATGCCGGTGTGTGTGTATTAATACGTATGGTAACCCGAGGAGGCCCCTGGAAAGTCACACACCGTAATCCTGTATGCCTGTCTAGGAAATTCATTGCAGGGGCGTAAGGTGCTGGTCTGTTTTTACATTCAGCTGTGAAAGGGGGACAGGCCAGCGCGGTTCGTTATTCTACCCGAGGGCCCCTGCGATGGTGATGGGGTCTGACATCTTTTCATGAGGCTTTTGTTCTGAGGCCTCAGTCCTGCTCCCTTCACGGGCCAGTGGGTGGGCTGATTGATGTTGGGCTCCTTGTGAGCAGAAGGGTCAGGAAGAAAGTGGCTTGCGGGAAGCCAGAGAGGGGACAAGCCATGCTGCAGAAATGAGATGCTTTTATTTATAGAACTGTGTCCCCAAACAGGAAGAATCTTGCCCAATTAGCCAGGGCCCCATTTTGAAGGGACGTGTCCTCTCATTAAGGTACGGTTGACAACTACAAAGCTTAGCACATCATGCCTTTGCTGTCTTTCCTGTTTTCATGTTAGAAGAGGAGCTAGAAGAGTGGGTTCGTTTGTTTTTCCAGCCGAACATAGCTAGTTTGAACCTACAGGTTCAATCACGTTCAACCAACTCCGAAGATTGCTCAAGATATGAGGCCGCAGGTCTCATTTCACTGCCCGAAACAGCCAGATCATAGCAGTTCGACTAACCAAGACCACCTTGACCCAGAGAATGATCAGGGTCCAGGTGGGGTACCGGCTTCGTTTGCTCCCTGTAGCCTGACATTTGAGGCCAGAGTCGCCCTGATCAGTTCAGTGGAATTGCTGAGGGCACCATGACAACATGTCACTGGAGGTTTATTTTAACGGAAGACGGCATGAATCTGTTAGAGAAACTCAGTCCGCTCCCAGCAGCCCTGCCTCCTGGAGAGTCCGCTGGGCAGGGAGGCGGGGGTGGCCGAGTCCCAGGAAATGCAGCCCTTCCCCATCCATCAGTGTCCAGGCAGAATGAAATCTGAACAAGGTGTGAGGCCCACCTGGGCTCAGACCCTGTCCTGGCCCTGACAAACTCTGACCTCTGTGATTCAGTTTCTTCAGTTACCCAATGGGGCTAATAATCCCTGATTGACAAAATTGGGCTAGAATCTAGGAAGGCAAGGTTTATAAAAACTCTTTGTGTAAGGCTCGTTATTACTGAGAAGTAATTAAACTGCATTCTCATCGGCTTCTCTCCCGGTTCCCAGCAACCTACTGCAGAAAGAATGGAATTTGCCGGCAGCTGAGGGTTCGTGTGAGGCCTCCATGGGGCTTCTCTCCTTTGATGTTTGTAGCCTGGGGCTAAGTTCTCCAGGGGCCCACCTCACCCTCTGAGTCACAGGCTTTGCCAGAAGCTCTATGCTCAGGTTGACTCACCCTGCCGTTCTTGTCCTTGCAAGTCATTCCTGTCATGTGTCTGGTTTGGGCGTTGGGGATACACTGGGGGAAGGATGGGCCACGGTGAATGACATGAACAGGGATGGTCAGGCGCTGACAAGTTGCGGGAAGTTGGCAGAATGTGTAGACTTAGGGTTGTAAGAGCGATAACATAGTCTTGTGCAAGCCTGCAGGTCTCCAGCCCTATAACCAGACATCTGGGTACGTTTGCATTTCTAGATTTATAGTTTGAGTTGACTTTGTGATTTCTGGCCAAGTATAAGGCCCTCATGCCTTAATCTAGTAGGAAAAAGTTATAGGAAAACTTGAGGAGTTCTGGATCATTCTGAGAAATGGATAAACGATCCCCAAGTAAAAGTTGATGTGGGTGAGCAGACGTTAAGAAGCAGTAGGCATTTCTTTTTAAGCTATAAGTTGAGTATATTCCATTGTACTCTCCTCAACCTAAAAGTCCTTCCGAAAGAAATTCATTAAATATACATGATTCCACATCTCAAATCAAAATGGTATGCAGTTAACAAATGAGTTTTGTATAGGCTTCGTAAGTTGATATGAAGGGATACTTGCAATAAAATGTTAAGTGAAAAAAAAAGCAATCACAGAGCAGTATACGTACTATAGAAAGTATAGAAAATACACTCTACATCTTGAGCATATAAAAAAAATCTCATTTTCAGAAAGAAAAAGTATGCATGAAAAACTGAGCAAAAATACATGTTATGTCGTTAATAGTAGATAGCCCTGGAGAAATTGAAACATGCAGCAATTTTTCCTTTATCAATTTATATACCCATTTTTAATGTTTTAAAAAGGAGCTTCTGATTTTTATAATTTTGTCGTAAATGTCTAGCTATACTTTTAAATGATTTTGCAAGTAATTTCACTGTGTAAGTCCTGGAAATGAAATGGCTCAGTCAAAGGGG